GTTCAGAGGTGATTCTTGGATATGTGCTAGTTCATGCACAGAATTAAGGTTCCAGCTTACTTCTCTTCAGGATACCTCCTGTGCTCTCTAGATTCCAGGAGCTGCATTTCCCAGTGAGAGAGAAAGAGACCATAGTGGGCTTCGTCCTTGGCCAGTACTGGAAGCCCAGTTTTTCTTACTTTATTGAAAACAGAAAATAATTTTATTTTTATTGTAGAGAAGATAAATGCAAATAAAAAGAAAAAAAAAACCCAAATTTTAGAGATAATCCCCATTAGTGTTTTGCTGTATGTTATTTTTAGACTTGAACAAATCACAAATAAGCAAATAACTTTAAAAATAACATCTATACTGATGTATATAATTGACTCTTAATTGTTCATAGTAGTTGTATTTTTATAAAGCTGCTATAAATACTGATCAGCAAATACTGAGTCATTACTTCTAGGGAAAATGCTGGAATGTGTTCCTACAATCTTTTGGTCACATTTTTGTCAACCAGTCAAGATATAATCTGATTTTATGTATATTTTTGTTTAAAGATGCCTTATTTAATTTATATGATTGATACATTAACACTGAACTCAGTGTTAAGTTCTAGCCAGCAACACTAGAACTCAGGCTTGAATGAAGCTTATCTAACACATGTTCTCCATAAAGCACTTCACCACCTTTTTGTACTTAAGAATAATGGTACTTCAGCACTGTGCTTGGGAGCCATTTTAAACAGTGAAATCACCAACAAAATGTACACAAATGCAGAAAACTTGGCAACACATAAACTGCAAAAAGAACACTTGTATGGGAGCTGAAACAAAAAGGCAGAGTATAGCCATGTTTGCTGACTAAAATTTTCCATAGCTCTGTGCATGTATGCAAAGGATTGCAAAAGCACCATGAGTATTGGGATTACACATAAATGTTAGTGAATAGACCAATTTGTAAGTATGGAATATGCAAATAGTGAGGATTGACTGTAATTCATATACCATCAATTACCTTTAAAAGTGTAAAGTTCAGTGTTTGGCTTTCTTTTTTTTTTTTTGAGTTGGAGTCTCATTCTGTTGCACTGCCACCGCAGCCTCGACCTGCTGGCTCAGGCAATCCTTCCACCTCAGCCTTCCAGGTAGCTGGAACTATAGACGTGTGCTACCACACCCTGCTTATTTTTTGATTTATTACAGAGATGAGGGCTCACCAAGTTGCCCTGGCTGGTCTTGAACCCCTGAGTTTAGGCAATCCTCTCACACGGCCTCCAAAAGTGCTGGGATTACAGACTTGAGCCACTGCTCCCGGCCAGTTCAATGTTTTTTATTACTCACAGGGTTTTGCAAACATTACTATAGTCAAGTTGATAACATTTTCATCACCTCAAAATGGCCTGTTTCATCAGCAACCACTTCCTTTTCCCCGTAGCCCCACTTCCAGTCCTAGACAACCACTAAGCTATTTTCCGTCTCTACAGATTTGCACATTCTGGTATTACATATATGGGATCATACAATATGTGACCTTTTGTGGCTTCTTTCACTTAGCATGATGTTTTTAAGGTTCATTGACATTGTAGCATGCAACAGTACTTTGTTTCTATTTATTGCTGGATAATATTCTATTTTATGCATATAGCATATTTTATTTATCCATTCATTAATTGATAGCCGTTTGGCTTGTTTCTACTTCTTGGTTGTTATGAGTGATGCTGTTATGAACATTTGTGCACAAGTTTTTCTGTGGACATATTTTTCATTTCTCTTGTGTATGTACTTGGGTAGTGAATTGCTGGGACATGTAACTCTGTGCTTAACCTTTTGAGGAACTGCCAAATTAATTTCCGAAGTGGCTGCAGCATTTTTCATTCCCACCAGCAGCATATGAGGATTCAAATTTCTCTACATTCTCACCAATGCTTGTTATTATCTATATTTTAAGTTATTGCCATCCAAGTAGGTGTAAAGTAGTATCTCACTATACTTTTGATTTTTATTTTACTGATGGCTGATGATGTTGAGTACCTTTTCACGTGCTTATTGATCATTTGTATATCTTGTTTTTATGGAACTATTATATTCTTTGCCCACTTTGTAATTGGGTTATTTGTGTTTTGATTATTGAGTTATTAGAGTCCTAAATATGTTCTACACATAGGTTCCTTATCATATTTATGATTTGCAAATATTTTCTCCTATTCTTTTTTTTTTTGAATGTTTTTTTTTCTTTTTTCTTTTTTTACTGTAGAGATGAAGTCCCGCCAAGTTGCCCGGGCTGGTCTCGAACCCCTGGGCTCAGGTAATCTACTTGTTTCGGCCTCCCAAAGTGCTGGGATTATAGGCTGAGCCACCGAGCCCAGTCATTTTCTCCTATTCTTTGTGTTATATTTTCCCTTTCTTGATGGCTACCTTTGCAGCACAAAAGTTTTTATTTTATTTTTTTATTTTTATTTTTTTGAGTTGGATCCTTACACTGTCGCCCAGGGTGGAGTGCAATAGCACACTCACGGCCATGGCAGCCTCGACCTGCTGGGCTCTGGAACTGCAGGCATAAATCACCAC